GTCTTTGCTCCGCGCCTGCATATGCAAATTAACTGCCATCTTTGTTGGGTTAATTTGCATACTCATACTGATTGGCTGGTGGGTGTAGCGGAGTGACACCAATTTGCATGTTTCTCTTTTATTAGTGTAGATTATTGACTATATTCCTATGTTGTAATTTATATATCTGTTAATGTAAATAATAAACAATTAAAAAGAGGCCTTGCAACTCATGCAGTTAGAATTTGTGAAACGAAGTCATAATTGTTTTTCAGTTGTATCTGGAAGTAAAAGATAATGTGGCTATATATTAGGCTAGTGTGTGTGTGTGTGTGTGTGTGTGTGTGTGTGTGTGTGTATGTACATGCATGTGTAGGAATTATTACTTACCATATTAAGGTGAGTTGATTTCTGAATGTTAGTGTTGAATCAACTAGTTTACTTAAAATTGCTCCCAGAATTTTTGTCTATTCTCTTGACATAAGATTATTATCAACAGCCTAATTCAGATCACTGAAATTAGTTAATAAATCAGTGAAACATGATTTTTAAGTTCAGTGGATCAAAGACTGAGAAGCTAATTTATATACCATAAGTATTAGTTAATTATTCTTTAAGATCAGTATCTTACCTTTGAAGGAAGATTTGACCTAACACAGTGTCATGGGTGAAGAGCTCTGGATGAATACTTCATGGGCTGTGGGGGTGGTTGACTCTGTTCCTCCAACTTTAACTTCTTTGTTAGGTACATTGGAGGGTTTTGGATTCTAGTTCTGTTTGAGTGTGTGTTTTTGTGTGTTTAAATATAAGGTAAAAGGATCTTCATAAAAGAGTTATTGCATCATGGCTACATAATTCTATCTTATGGATGAATTATAATTCATTTAACAACTTTTATTGTTGGACATTTGGGTTCTTGAATAAATAATTCTACACTATGTATATATTGCATATAATTATCTGTCTACAGACACTCCAAGAAATATATTAATTAGGTAAAAGAGATGGAATATTTTTAGGTTTGGGAGAATGTTTACCATATAGATATGGTAAAAGCAAAGTTACTTTCCAGATAGGCTTTTAAAAATTATATACTTACATGCATAGCCCATGGACATGAACAATAGGGTGGTGAAGACCTGCGGGGCAGTATGGATAAGGCCTGGGTGGAGAGGGGGAAAATGGGAGACATCTGTAATACTGTTAACAATTTAAAAAAAAGAAAAAATATGAGTACATATTTATTTTATCCTTGCCATCACTTAATATATTATTTTTATGGTTTCCAATTTGCTATTACTTTAATAGTTCCCGAATCACTGTTAATTAAATGGTTAAATATATTTATTCTTCTATGAATTATTTGTTCATGTCATTCGGTCACTTACCCATTTTTTTTATTAGGAAATCAATATTTTTATTTTTAAAAGACTACTTTTATATTAAGGACATTGACTTTTTAATATATTTGTTGCAGATAACATACCTAATTTTCCTTTAAGTATTTTTGTGTTTTTAGTGGAGTTTTATATTATGATATACTCATTGTATTATATTTTTGTTCATCTGTTTTAGTTTTGTAATTCTTTCCCAATGTAAGAATCAGCCAAATATTGCTATATATATTCTTCATGTGTTACATGATTTCATTAGTTATATCTAACATATCTGTGTAGATCTTATTTTGGTGTGAGGTTAATATCAAACTTGATTTCCCGCCCCCACCCCCATGTTCTTTGC